TGAACTCTGGGCCTGGGCGCTGTCCCTCAGCTCTTCAGCTCAAGGCTAGTGCTCTACCACTTGAGCCACAGTGCCACTTCTGGCTTTTTTCTTTTTACTTATGTGGTGCTGAGGAATCGAACCCAGGGCCTCAGGCATGCAAAGCAATCGCTCTACCACTGAGCCACCTTCCCAGCCCTAAAGCACTTATTTTAAATAGATTTGAAAAAGTTCTTCATTGGCTATCCATCCCAGCTATTCCTTATTTTTGATCATTTATGATGACTTTTCTTATAGAGAATTTGACAGTAGCATATTTGTGAACATTCTTCTTTCCCACCCATCTCTGCTGGCCTTTTCCCCCAGAGTTAGACTATGTGCTGAGCACTGCAAGGCTCCGCCGTTAAAGCTTGCATTTCAAAAAAGGGAAAATGAACTAACACGACAGCCTCTCTGTGTGTCTATGGAACTCCAGTGCCGTCAGAAGGTGGTGAATACATTTTCTAGTTTCTCCTAAGAGAGTTCCCCCCTTTCCCCCCTTCCCCCTCCCCTCCCCCCCTCGACTGGGAGAATGGCTAAAGTTATGGAATATCTGCCTGTTAAGGGGAGGCCATGAGTTCAAAGCCCCAGTGCCACAAGTAAGCAAACAAACAGTTAGCTCCTTTCAAATCAGAACTGGCATTGAATATTCTGCATAGAGCTTTAAGGCAAGGACCTTTCTTTTTTCATTGCCAAGCTAAAGAGCAATGGTGGGTAAAGCAATAGGTTGTTGCTCGAATCAGCTTTCTTTGTTCCTAGACCCTTTTTCACTCATAGCTGACATTCTGCCACAACTCCAGTTCTATGTGGATACTTTTTTAAAAAAGCATAAATTAACTGAGCTGATATGAGATGAAATAGAAAACTTGAGTAGTCTCATACTATATTAGTCACTTAGCATGATCTAGCAGAGTTGAAAGGGCATGTACTGCTTGGGGGTGTAGCTTAGTGGTCACATACTTACACAGTATGTGCAAGGTCCTGAGTTCAAGTTCTCTGGCTCTGTACATTACATAACAAGCACACACCCTCTCATTTATGCCTGGAGAAACTCTTGCTCAGCTACAACTAGAATGTAGGATAGTCATCATAAGCAGAGTTGCTTGTAATTACAAAAACTTAACACCTAAAAGGCAAAAAGCAAAAAAAAAAAAAAAAGGCAAAAAGGGAAGATAATAAATTGTGATACTCGAGTAGCAGAATAATATACAGGATTATAAATCAATGAAGCTACCCACAGCATTGTAAATGACTTTCAGTATTATATTCAGGAAAAAAAGCAAGTAATAGAAGAACACATATGAATGATTTTATTTACATCAAAGTTCAAAAGTAAGAGGCTGTCAGATGTGATGGCTGACTCCTGTAATCTCAGCTACTTGGGAGAGGAGCTCAGGGAGGGTCACAGTTTAAGACCAGCCAGGGGAAAAATTTTGAGAGACCTCATCTCAACCAGTATAAGGCTTGGATGTGGTGCATGCCCCACCAGTTATGTGGCAAGCATAGACTGGAGGATCGTGGTGTGGCCTGGCCTAGCCAGAAATGTAAAACTATTATAGGGAAAGAGCGAGAAAAAACATAAAGCAAAAAAAAGATGAGGCTAAAGTGAAGGTCCTGAAACAAAACAGAACAGCAGCAAACTCAGGACCCTCTGAAGTCAGGAGGGGTCAATTCTGAGGCTCCCTGAGCTTTCCATTTCCTCATTCTTTTGGGGTGCTGGAGGGCAGTGATCAGTGGAGGAGGGAGAAGGGAGCTGGGTCCTTGGCCCGGCCGGCCATCCCGGCAGACTGAGGACTCTGTTCCCTCGTTTTCATCAAAGGGCAGGAGAGGCAGAAATATTCTGGAAGGTCACAAAGCCAACCTCTGGCAGAGCTGTGTGAAGCAGAAGCCGCCCACCAGCACAAGCATTGCTGGGCCCAGCAGGAAGCAGAGTGCTGAAAATGCTGATGCATGCATTCTGCCCCCTCAACTCTGTCTACCCCATACCCCATGCTGAGCTCTGAGTCTGTCCTCCTGCATCTGTCCCCTAGGTATGTGAAAACCTATCTACTGCCCGACAGATCTTCCCGGGGGAAACGCAAGACTGGAGTCCAAAAGAATACCACAGACCCAACCTTTGAGGAGACCTTGAAGGTACTTGCTGGGCACCTATTCCTGAGCTGAGTCCTCCCAACCCAGCTGGGCAAAGGGTCCGGGTTCAACAAGGCTCTTCCACATCCTGTAAGTGCAGACGCCTGTATGCTTCTCCACGGCTCTGCCTAGCAGCGGCTGGTGCCAGCAAATAGGCCTCTGTACAGGGACAGCGCAGGCTCCACTGGAGGAGAATGGCTTTTGAGAAATGGTTTCTGAGCAAATGGAAATGACAGAAATGAGCCTGGGCTGCCTCTGAGTCTCAGCCTAACACCCAGAAACAGCGTGGCTCAAGCGTTGGCTTGGCTTTTTGCAAGCAAGGATCAAATGACTAAGTATCTGAATCATGTCAGGTGGGAATCCCCAAAGATGAAACCACTGACTTTCAGTCTCAGTACAAGGGCTTATGGTTGCAGTACTGGAAAAACTCTAGTAATTTTTTTACGTGTGTGTGTGTGTGTGTGTGTGTGTGTGTGTGTGTGCGTGCGCGCGCATGCGTGCACTCTCGCGCCAGTCCTGGGGCTTGAACTCAAGGCCCTTACATTCTCGTTTGGGTTTTTTGTTCAAGGCTGGTGCTCTACTACTTGAGCCACAACTCCTCTTCCTGATATTGTTTTGGTTAATTATAGATAAGAGTCTTTAGGACTTTCCTGACTGGAATGGCTTTGAACCGTGATCCTCAGACCTCAGCCTCCTGAGTAGCTAGGATTATAGGTATGAGCCATTGGTAACTGGCTTAAAATTTCAAAAAATTGCCTTTAGTTGTACAAAGTGGTTTCAGCTTGTGCGTGCAGCGCATCTTGATCAGGGTCAGCGCTTTTGTCTTTTTCCCCATCTCTCCCACCTCTATTCGTCGCCTCGATGTACCTGGTTTCATTTTCACCTATGTACATTGAGCATTGCCTGCCCTTCCTCTCCCCATTCCTGTGCCCCGCTCCTCTTGACCTTTTCTCCCAACAACACGTGATCCTTCTTGGTTTTTGTGCTGTTAATTATGATTCTGCATATATTTTCATATGTTTATCATTTAGCTCTAACTTCCACATATGAAGGAAAACTTTTTTTTTTATTTTTATGAAGGACTTTTTCCCCCTGGTGTTCTTTGATGCTAAGAAATCTGACTAGGTTTAGGGCAGAGCCTAGGCCTTCTGCTCTGATTTGGGGTGGGGAGACTGGGCCTGGGCACAGAGCTGGCTGTGGGAACCCCAGCCAGACGTGAAGCCCAGCCCTGGGGGCCTCAGCCAGAACTGGGTATCCCACAAGCTCTGCCGTCTGCTGCTGGCAAGAAGAGAGGGCTTTGTTTGTCTTCCTTGGCAAGTAGGGGTGTCTGTGAACTGGCAGCCAGGGGCCATCTGGGCAGCTGGCACAGAGCCCAAGTTCATTAAATAATAATAGCCATTGTTTGTTTCCTGGGCCCCTGCTGTTGCCAAGGGCTGTCTGTATACTGAGGCAGGCATTGGAATCCTCCCTTACCGACCAGAGCTGGGGCTGCAGAGGCCTCACTGGAAGCCGCCCCCAGGAAGCCTCTGGGATTGTTTCTTTAAGTTATGAGCTCTGACTCAGCAGGTGTGGCTGGGGCCTGAGAGGCTCTGCTGCCTCTTTTGCACACGTCCATCCATGCTGCTGGCTGCTGCCGGGCCACACACAGGCAAGCCATCCTAGGCCAGTCACGTGGCTATTTGCCAAGCCACGTGCCCACTAGGAAAAAATTTAAAGCGATGTCACCTCACACATTTTAAGTTGCTACCTAAAATTACTCATCATACTTTTTTTGGGCTGGGGCTCAGCCAGCATTTTCATTCACGGCTGGTGCTCTGCTAGATGAGCCATACCTCCAGTTCCATCATTAAACATTTAATGAGGTATTTTTATGCTAGACAGAGGTTTCTAAAGGCTATTTTAGACAAACTTAATTATATAAATTTCTTTTTTGGTCGATCGTGAGGCTTGAACTCTGGGCCTGGGTGCTGTCCCTCAGCTCTTCAGCTCAAGGTGAGCACTCTACCACTTGAGCCACAGCGCCACTTTAGGCTTTTTCTGCCTATGTGGTGCTAAGGAATAGAACCCAAGGCCTCTTGCATGCAAGGCAAGCACCCTACCACTGAGCCACCTTCCCAGCCCTAATTATATAATTTTAAAAGTGTGTTTTTTAACCATATGCACATATTTCTGAGGAATTTTTTCCTTTGGTTTCTGTGGTTTGAAACCAGGGCTTTGCGCTTGGGAGGCCGATGCTCTAGCACTTGAACCACACCCCCAGCTATCTTATTTCAGTTGTACACAGAAGCTCAAGGAAATCACAATTAATTTTTTTATTGTTATAAAGGTGATGGACAGAGGGGCTACCGGTCCATAGGTCAGGTGATGAGTACGTTTCTTTTTGGACAATGACACCCCTTCCCTTGTTCTCATTCAGTTTTTCCCCTCCTATTCTCACCTATAAGTTGGAAGTTCACTTTCAATGTAGTGTTTAGTGAGGACCACGGCTGCATTTGTTCACCCACAATTGTTTTTGCCCGTGGGTTTCCTTCAGCCTGTTGGGAGTAGTTTGTAGTCCTAGAAAACTCTTGCAAGGAAGTTTGAAAGAATCATGGCTCTAGTCCAAATTCAGAGCCTCCCCACACAGGCCAGACTTGAACTGGATGGAAAAGATGGGGGTGAGGGAGCCAGTCGGTCATTTGAAAGCCTTGCACAAACCAGCCGTTCACATTTCCCCAGGCTTTGCCAGCTCAGGCATCAGGGAAGACTGGGAAATGATGAGCTATGACAGCAGTCTCCAGACAGGTTTGAGAAAAGTGAACAAGAAAGTTGAAGGTCACTAAATCGATCATCAAAAGTTTTCTGAGTGGGGCACTGTGGGCTCATGCCTGTAATCCTGGCTACTGTGGAAGCTGGGTGTGGGAGGATTGAGGTTGCAGGCAGCCTCAGGCAGAGAGGTCCTCAAGACTCTTACAGAATATCCAGGCTCCGGTGGCTCACGCTTGTAATCCTAGCTACTCAGGAGGCTGAGATCTGAAGATGGAGGTCCAAAACCAGCTTTGGAAGAAAAAGTCGGAGATTTTTGTCTGTAATTAACCACCAAAAAGCCAGGAGTGAGGGTGTGGCTCAAGTGGTAGAGTGCCAGCCTTGAGCAACAAGCTAAGGGACAGCGCTCAGTCTCTCAGTTCAAGCCCATGTACCAGCAGGACACACATAGATACAAACAAACCTTTTTATTTTTTTTTTAATCTAGCTTTTACTACTTTAGGATGGCGCTGGCTGGGGATGGTTTGGGCCAGGTGCAAGTTCAGATCTTAGGGCTTCCATCCTTGTACTGAGAAGTGGGTCCTGGTGAATTTGGGTAGAGGGCAGAGGGCACACCCTTTTCCTCCGCCCTCCCCGACTCCAGTCAGCTTGGCCATACCGGGCCAAGCTGCAGCCAGCTCTGGGGATGGGGTGGGGGTGGGAGGCGCTGCCCGTGTCAGCCCGGGGGGCGGGGCCAGAGGCCGCCACTCAGCACCTCCGCTCTGTTCCTGCAGTATCACATAGACCTTTCCCAGCTGGCCACCCGGAAGCTGCAGGTGTCCGTGTGGCACCTGGGCGCTCTGGCTCGGAGGGCATTCCTTGGCGAAGTGATTGTTCCTCTGGCCACGTGGGACTTTGAGGACAGCGCGACGCAAGCCTTCTGCTGGTATTCCCTCTGGGCCAAGGTGATGTCTGTGAGGCTAGCCTTCCTGTGAAAGTCACTCTCCCGCTTCTCATGGTTACCCTGAAGGCCAGGCTGCAACACCTCTGTGGGTGGCATCCGGTGTGGGCCTGGGCTTACACAGATCACCAGCAGGCTTGTCCGACGGGGCCTCCTCTAGAGAGCCTCCTAAGGCAAGCAGGCCGGAAGCAGAGTGTGCCAATCTCAACAGCGTCCCTCCCCGGGCCAGCTAAGAAATCAGGGCTCAACACTGACTGCGGCGTGGCGCACAGGCCCTGCGCCCCAGGGCTCTGACAGCAGAGGATTGTGGCACTGGCATTTGATTTCCAGATACGGAGGATGGCAGAGGCTGCATCTCAGTGGGCATCTCAGACCAGGCAGAAACGCTTCAGCGTGGACACAGGCCAGCCTGTGTGGCTCCTGAGGAACCAGGGCCCCTTGTGATCACCAAGAGCTGCTCCTTATGCTAGAGCCATGGGCCACTGTGCATGGATCCTTCTCAGCCTGCTGTGCCCATCCTGGGGCGAAAGATTAGCTGGATTTCAGGGTCATCTCTCCCTGGGCTCTTCTTTACGTGTGGGCAAAATGACTCATGACCAGAGAAGCTGCCTTGGGGTAGGGGGGTGGAGGCTCAGCAGGGGGTCAGGACAAGGTGCTGCCAGACACCCACAGCCAGGAGAGCTCAGTGTCCAGTCCTGGGCTGGGGCACAATCTGTGAGCTCTGTAGACTCCAGTGCTCACTGTGAACCTTGGCTCGAGTCCCTAATGACCTAGATGGAATGGCTGAGGTGGTGGTGGTGGGGGTGAGGGTGGGGAAGCCAGATCTTATTTACTGTTTTCAGATCTGTGCACAGCTTTCCTTAGGGCTGGCTTGCTCTCATCGGCCTGCTTCTTGGCCCCTGTCAGCGGTGGCTTGCAGGGGGTGGTGAGCATGCCGAGATAAGTCCAAGGACGGAGAAGGACCTGTGTCACACCATGCCCACCTCACCCCAGGCTCTGCAGGCCCGAGAGCTTTTGCAGGGGTAGTGCGGGGGGGGGGTATATGGACACGAGAGGTTCTCGGATGGCTTGGAGGTAGGGGTGAAGAGGGGCGGGATCCCGCCTCTGAAGTCCGCCTCTTTCCCACAGGGTGAGAAATGCGAAGACAATGTTCCTCAGAATAATGGAGAACTTGCTGTCCGGGCTAAATTGGTCCTTCCTGCGGGGTCTAGAAAGCCCCAAGAGGCTCAGGAAGGTAGGTGACCTCAGGCCGGCTGAGCACTTGTCTGGGTCATGGTTCGGTTCCCAAAGCCTGGCAGGCAGGCAGGCAGGCATAGAGGTGGGCACAGGTTTGTAGGACTTCCTAGCATTTCCTTCCCACCACCTGCAGATCCTGGGTGCCCCAGGAACTCACATGGTGATGGAGAAGCAGCCGGGAAAGGGGGTGGTGTATGTCCCCAAACCACTATGTGAGGGACCATGGCAGCCAAGGCCTTCACGCCCTTCACACACTGTAAAGACACTGGCTCCTAGACTCCCCCTGCCTTCCCTCAAGTGGCAGATTGGACAGCCAGAAGGGAAACGCCAGTGTGTGTCGCAGGGGGGGCATTGGCTTTTCACAAACCACCAGGGCTTCTCAAGCTACTGGATCTCAGGGCTCAGAGGGGACTAGCCGGCTGAGTGAGGAAGGACGGAGCCTCGAGCACGTAGACAGAGGCTTAGCTAATGTGACGCACATGAACCTGAGGACAGAGAGGGGAGACGGGGAGAGCTCACGGCTCCGCTGCATTGCTCAGTGACTTGCTACTGGCCAACAGAGGAAATTCTGCTTCTGATCTCACAGGCCACCAGCAGCCAGCACCTGTGGCCATGTCCATCTGTCCTTCTGTGGCAGCAGCCTGAGGTTCTTCATTTCCAGAACCATTGGTTTCAACCAGACTAAAGCTTCTACATCTTCCCTCCCTTGTGGGCTCCCAGCCCTCTCTGTAGCTCCTGCCTTCCTAGGGCTTTAGAAACCTCGACCCGGGTATCACGCTGACCACTTAGCAGGCAGTGCATGGGCAGGACCCATGTACCTCTTCCCCCTGCTCTTGGGGTGGAGGCCATACCATCACCCGGCAGAATGGCCGGCTTTGAGGAGCTGGTACTGCCCGCTCAAGGTATCATGCATTTGACGAAAGCTGTGTCTTTCCTTCCAGGGACAGATCAGCTGGCCCTTGATGGTCAACTCTGCTTGGTGGTTCTGGGAGCCAAGAATTTACCTGTGCGGTCAGATGGGACCTTAAACTCATTTGTTAAGGGGTAAGTGTTAGTAAAGGTAATACGGTTTACTGATTCTGTACTCCAGTCCCAGAACCTGTAGGAAATACCAGAAAGCACAGGGCATTTAAAATTTCATCTTACTGTAGCTCTCCTATGAAAATCCAGCATCCAAGAACTCACGGGATGTGAACATTACATTTAACCAGAAACTCAGATCGTGCCAGTTCTTATTTTATATCAATCATTTTTGAAATCAAGTATGAAAAAATAGTAGGCTCAAGTCAATATTTCCTCACTTAATTGGATAAACCACTCTGATGGCTCCACATTTTTTTTTTCCTTTTTTTTCGTCTGGTCCTGGGTCTTGAACTTAGTGCCTAGGTGCTGTCCCTGACCTTCTTTTGCTCTACCACTTTAAGCCACAGCTCCACTCCTGGCTTTTTGGGTAACTTAGTGGAGATAAGAATCTCACCCTTTCCTGTCCAGGCTGGCTTTGAACCTCCCTTCTCAGATCTCAGCCGCCTGTGTAGCTAGCGTTACAGGCGTAAGTCTGCAGCACCTGGCTCCACATTTCATTCTCAGATACTATAGCTTATGAGTGTGTTGGTTTCTCCAACGGAAAAGCAAGCACCAATAGTTGTACTGACGTGCAGACCGCCAGTCGCTGACAGAATGTCAAGTCATGGCCTACCTCATCCAGACAGAAGCCTGTGTCCTAACCTTGTTGTTTCTGTGTCAGGTCTTGGGAGAGTTGGGCTTTCAGAATGCATTTGCCTCAGGAGAAGGGAACAAAATGAGATCCCAAGTCTATAGATCCCCGGTCCCCGGGCAGTGCCCACCTCATGGGTTCTATCACCAATGGGTGGGAAGGAGAGACTGAGGATGCCAGCAGCCTTCATTGCTGACCTAAATTCAGGGAAATTCTGTGAGGGCCCGAGGCCAGACCTTGAGCTTTCCAGGCCGGCTTAGAGCGCTCACTTTGAGTCGGACGTGTCCACGCTGGGTCATGCGTCTTACTGGGGGGGAGGGGCTGCTTGCTGGACACTGAGCTCAGCGGTTCCTGTGTCTCTTCTTTAGCTGCCTCACTCTGCCGGACCAACAGAAACTGCGGCTGAGGTCTCCAGTGCTCAAGAAGCAGGCCTGCCCGCAGTGGAAGCACTCCTTTGTGTTCAGTGGCATAACCCTGGCTCAGCTGAGGCAGTCCAGCTTGGAGCTGACTGTCTGGGACCAGGCCCTGTTTGGGATGAGTGACCGCCTGCTGGGCAGAGCCAGACTGGGCTCAGGTACGTGCTTGTTGAGTCCCCAGTACTTATCCAGTAATGGGCCACAGCTTTGCTGTTCATTGCAGTCATGAGAAGAGAGAAAAATCAGTCTACAGTGGCAGTGACTTCATTAGCTTTGAAACTGCCTAAACTGCCCTAAATGGGAATCCCGAGATGCAGGTTTAACTCTGCAACAGAACGGTAATACAGCCAAGTATGTGGGCAATTTAAATCAGATTTACATCTGTTAAAGCAGTGAAAGTTTTAGGCCTTAAAGTGGGCAAGGCACAGAATCTACTTTTGTGGCTGGTGTCAACCATTAAGAGGATTATTTTCTGAAAGGAAAATACCTTACCCCAAACAAATGACAAATCAGAAAGGACTATTCAGTGTGGCTCACAGGGGGGTCTGCCGGGAGGGGGGTTTAGCCCTCTGCCTATGGGGAGACTCTGCGCCCCAGCAGCCAGCGGCTCCCACACTGCCACATCCCCCACACCTGTGCACAGGCCGCCGGCCTCCCACTGAGAATTACTAAACAAGACTGAAGTTTCTGGAAGGAAGCTTGACCAAGCACCCCCCCCTACAGAATCCCGTTGTGACCCCTCTGCCCACAGCCTTGGCCCTGGGTGCTGACCCCCCCCCCGCCCCCAGACCTCAGAAATGCCATGTACTTCCTATCAGCGGGGCTGTGGTGTGGTCACTCTTAGTCATCTGTGGCCAGCTTTATTATAAAGCTTCCAGTCAGAAGACTTTTCTTGGTCCTTGTGTTTAAAAGGGATGGGCTGCCCTCACCCCACCCCCACGCTCATTTGTCTCTAACATCACAGAGGCAGGTGCAGCTGACGACGCGGGCACGTGTTCTCAGTCAAAGCTCCGGTGGCAGAAAGTGCTTTCCAGCCCCAATTTATGGACAGACATGACCCTCACCCTGCACTGAGGCGAAGCTCCAGGCTGCCGTGCTGGGGTGCGCGCTGGTGGCACTGAGGGGCCACTGCTGGACAAGACCCCAGGAGCCTAAAACGCAGCCACACCACATCTGTATACGCAAGGACCAGAGCATCACACAGAGGAGACTTGGGTGGGTTACAGGGAAATGGTCAGATTTCAATAAATGTTCAGACTTGGGGGCCCTGCAGAGAACCCTTGGTAAGTCCTTGGCACCCCACCCCCACACAAGCAGACACCCTGGGCTGCAGTGCCTAGGAGAGCTTTTATTGTGTACACCTGCAGGCTGGCGTTTGCCCGCAGACTGGGAAGGCCGCACAGGGTAGCAGGGGGAAGGAGCCGGGCTCGGGAGAGCAGCCGTTTGATGGTCCTTCAGGCGTGTGGACGAATGGAAGCAGGTCAGAGTCCCTTCATGGCTGGAGTCGGAATCATCTAGCAACAGCATTTTTCGAACAAGCAGCTTAGGAATTGGACGCGTGTGGTTATATGTACAAAGAACAGTAAAAGAAAATTTGTACAGCTGTGATTTCAGCAGGCTGTGGCTTTCCGCTCTTACTCCAGAGCCAGTGCCATGGTCACATGTGTTTTTGTGTTTTTATTTTTTAATATGTAATTTTTATTCTGTAAAAGGTAACAAAATATACAGAACAAAACTTTCCCTTTTAAAAACTAATGTTACAAACCCTTATATATAAATACTATGTCCTAGAGCTGATCAGGAATGAGTTAGGTATAGAAGCCCAACGTTATATTCTATGAAGAAGACTAACATCGCAGTGTATCAGGAGTCCTGTACCGTTCGCTGTGAATGACCACTGCAGACTCGAACTGCTGCAGCGGATGCTGGAAGAAGGGAATCGTTGTGTGGAGGAGTGGTATAGGCTCAGATTTCCAAAATAACTTTCTCCCCTCCCCACAGAAACATGCAGATGGACCTTTCCTGGAAACCAAGAGCACAGGGGCTTGAGCTCGTCTCAGAACCAGAGGCAGTATGGCACAGAGAGAAGCCACGACGTGGTTTTCTTTAATGATACAGAAACTTGGGTCACATGGACCAACAGAGGTGACTCAGAATTTTACAGGCAACTTAATTCCATTTGCCCTGCTCCAAGTAGAGAACAGGCAGGGATTCAATAACTCAAAAACAAAAACAAAAACCCCAATGAAAACATAAGACAAATCAGGCCTCTTTGGCACTATGATACAAGTGGGGGAAAGCAAGCCGGGGACTTCACGGGCTCCTGGCCCTGAGCACTTCCCCTGGAGGGCCCCGGGACACACGGAGGGGTTTCTAGATTGAATTACGCTAAAGCCTGGGGCCTCAGGCTCAGGCCCCGGCCGTTACATGGCCTCGAACTCGTCGATGCGCTGCTTGGTGTTGCCCTGCCGGATCTGCCGCAGGGTCTTGTACTTGTCCCGGCCCTGCCGCATGTTCTCGTTGTGGATGAGGTCGTTGTGGGTCCTCTTGTTCTCATCTCTGGCCTGGGACAGCTCGTTGCTCAGGGTCTGTGGGTGGGAAGCAGCCAGGGTCAGGGACGTGGGGGCTGGGGGGGCCGGGGCCGGGGGGACCGGGTTGCCTCGCTCACCAGCAGCTGCCGCTGCACGCGCTCGTTCTTTTCGGCCTCGGTGATGCGCTTCTCCTCGTTGCGGTCATCGAGGATGCCCTCGCTGGACAGCTCGGCGCTGTAGCCGGTAGACTCGGCACCCTCCTCCTGCAGGTTCTCCTGCACGTGGTAACTGGCGGGGTAGCTCACCGGCTCGTAGGCCGGGGGCGGCGGCGGCGGCGGCGCGGTCATCACCAGGTGCAGCTCCTCCTTGGTCTTCACCAAGTCGTCCTGGGCTTCTTTGGCCTTTGGGGAGCAAATGACACAACAGGCGAGCTCCTCCCCACAGCTCTTACATGGTGGGAGAGGGGTAGACACTTACGAGATGGGGTCCCCTCGGAGGAGCAAGGGGTTCAGAAGCAACTCGGAGGGAGTCCCACAGGCTGAGCTCCCCCCTCCCGCCCACGGCACATGGCAAACACATGGCAGAGATTGGACATCTCTTCGGGTGGCCTGTCCCCCTCTCATCTGCATAGAATCCTGATATACGCTAATAATGGGAGAGCTGGGTGTTATGGCTGATGTCTGTAATCTCAGCTACTCGGGAGGTGGACATTTGTGCCCTGCTGGGCAAAAAGTTAACAAGACTGGATCTCAACAAAGAAGCTGGGTGTGGCGAGACACCAGTGCGCCCCGCTACGTGGGAGGTTATAGGTCGGAGGACTGGGGTCCAAGGCTGGACTGTGGAAAAGCACGAGACTTTATCCATCTTATAAAACAAAATAAAAACAGAAGCCCAAAGGGGGTAGGCGTGTGGCCCAACTCGGTCCTGCCTAGCAAGAAAGGAACCCAGTCCTCCACTATGAGCACCCACAGAGGCACAGGAGCACTGGGTGTGGCCTCCTCTCTCCTTGAGCGACTGCACTTCAGGCACCTCCTCATCTGTTGCCGCGAGTCTGTCCTGCAGCCACCCAGGGCACAGGCCCATCCCACCACCCCCGCCAGCACTATGGAGAGAGCTGCGCATCACCTGCTTATCACAGGCTGGTGAGCTGGAATGGGGCCTGGGAAATGTGGTGGAAGACAATGAAGGAGCAGCACTAGGCAGGGACCCCAGAGATAGAGGACACAGGCAGTAGGGAGTGTGGGGGAGGGCTTATGGGGTCCATGATGTGACCTGCTGCTTCCCTGCCGTCCTGCAGGGCAGGCAGGACCACAGGCGAGGGAACATGCTGACTACAGCTACAGCTGATCACATCTGCCTGGGGCCGCACACATGGTCTTTTGTTCACAGGGTGGGCTCTCGAGCTGGAGACAGCTCTGTTTTGCAGTAAAGAGACAGGGCTCAGAAGTGTGCCCCTTTCCCACACTGTTCAAACCAGGCCCAGCCTGGCACCCGTCTGGAGTCGTGCAAGGTCCTGTGTAGCAAATTCCAACTGCCAGGTCTTACTTCAGCCACCTCAACCCTGCTACGGGGGCACACAGGACACTGGATGTAGAACAAGTTTCCGATCCTGGCCCAACGCTCAGGTGGTGGGAAGGAATAAGCAGGTCTTTGTTGGGCTGCTAATCCCAGGCAAGAGTACAAGGCTGGCCTATTCCTCGGCGATTTCTACTGCGCGAGGTCAGCTGGCATCAGGAAGGGCTGTGAAGCCCCCAGCCCGCGCGGAGGGGCAGTCCCAGCGGTGCCCTCGGACCTGGGGCCTCCGCGAGGCGCACACTCACCCGGTGCTGCCATTCCTCCACCTCGTCCTCCTTGCGCCTCCGCGCCTCCTCCAGGAGTGCGATCTTGGCGGTGTACTCCGCCAGTTCTGCGGCCTGGGAAGAAAAGACAAAGCAAAATGTGTTTTCTAGAATGCTTGAGGCAGTCTATTTGTGAATGAGAATTCTCCAGTGTCTGCCAACGGCCTTCCTGTGGCGAGCTGTGGCCAGCCCCTCCTCCCCCACTGAGGGCCATCGGGTTCCATCGGGGCCGCCCGCGGTCACCGAGGGTTGTTGGACACCTGTGGCCACCTCGGACGGGCTGTGGACGAGGCCCCAGCCCCTTGCCCTGCAGCTGCCGTTGCCTGCAGCAGATCCGCTTTCAGGGGCAGAGGAAGCCATGGCAAGGCAGGTGTCGCCTCTTCCATCCCCAGAGTCAGTCTCTCCATAATTCAGCGTCTTGAAACCCAGGCTATCCTCACCAGCTGCTCCTGGCTCTTTATCTGATCCTGCGCCTGTCTCTCCAACTCCTCCTTGGCACGCAGTGCAGCAACGCGGTCGGCCTCCAGCCGCTCCGCATCCTCCTGCGCTCGCTTCCTCTCCTCCTCCAGCTGCAGGGCTCTCTCGATCTGGTCCGAGAGTTCTGTGCAGAAGCGGGGGCCAGAGTGAACGGTTCAAGCCCGGGCCAGGGACTCACAGTCCTGGCTTTCCATCCCCACCCCAGGGGAGGCAGGAGAACCACAATCGCTGGACCATGAGCCTCCCCTCGGGAGTCCTTGTGCTTCCATGACAACTTCCTCAAGATGGCTAGAAACTGCTGCGTGGAACTGGTCAGACATCCCTTCACCAGCCAGGTCTGACCTTGGCTCCCATACCACCGGGGCACTGCTAGAACACAGGCCTTGCCAGGCTCTTCCCAGGCTCTAGCAGACAGCAATCTAGCTACAATGAGAGCCCCTCAAGGGCAGGCTGATCACATGACCCGGACTGGCTGGAGGAACAGCTGGGTTGTGGGCAGCTGTCGATGGGCAGTGAGGTCTGGCCAGGGAGTTGAGTCAAGCTGACTGGAGACACAGCTCAGCTGCTCCCTGCGGACAGACGACAGGTTGACAACTCCCCCTTGCTAAATCTTAATGTTCTCATTGGGATAATGGTGGTACTTTGGCACTTATTTAAAAAGGTGGGAAAATTACAAATAATCTGCATAGAAGTAAATAAAGGGCAGAATTACTTTGTGTGTGTGTGCGCACACCAATACTGGGACTTGAACTCAGCTGTCCCTTAGCTTTTCTGCCCAAGGCCAGTGTACTACCACTTGAGCCACAGCTCCACTTCCTGCTCTTACTTGGATTCATTGGGGATTAAGTCTCACAGACTTTCCTGCTCAGGCTGGCTTTGAACTGAGATCCTCAGATCTCAACCCTCTGAGTGGCTAGGATTCCTGGTGCCAAACTCAAGAATTATTTTTGAACCCAAATCATTGATCATTTCCTCTTATTGTTTCTCTGTTCTATGCCTCTGTTTTGGGGTGCTGTGTTAAACAGACACATGCACTCTGGAAGGAACACTCTCCCTGGCTGCCGGCCTGCCTGACCTTTGGTGGGGCAGAAATGCCAAGCCCACAGCAACCCCACGGTGTGGCGACAGTCAGTTCCTGACCTTTCTCGGCTTTCTTGGTCTTCTGCTCATAGTCCTGCAGCCGCAGCATCAGCTCCTCCTTCTCCCGCAGCATCTGCTCCTTCTCCCTTTCCACAGTTTCTCTCCTCTTCTTCTCCGTTTCCAGCTGTTGCCTGGTACAGAGAGGAGACCGAGGCACAGGGAGGTTAGGCTTGGGCAGGTGCAGTGGGCATTTCCCGTGGGGGCTGCCGGCGTGCCGTGTCTCAGTCATGCTGGGAGCTGCGTGGTGTTCCGGGGTGGCCTCTGCCAGACACGGCCCAGGCTCAGAGCAACACCCTAAGAACACTGATGCCCCGGGTCTGGAGGCCTGGTGAGAGGCCCATCCGACCGGGAACAGCACAGTTACGTCAGGGCACCTCAGGGCACTGCTGGGCACAGCAGGCCGTGGCACCCCGCACCAGGCCACTCACCGTTCCAGCTGCTTCTGGTGCTTCTCCTCCCGCGCCTGCGCCTTCATCTGCTGCACCTCGATGGTGTCCGGCTTCCGGCGGCGCATGTACAGCTCGTGGTTCCCCATGCACAGCTGCAGGATTCGCTTGTTGATCCTCAGGCGGGGCGCATAGAACACGAAGTCCTGCCAAAGAGAACTCGACGCCTCAGACCCAGCCTCCTTCCCCAGGCTATACATCCCCAGGTTCTACTAGACCTTTCTAAAAGGACACATGGCAGGGGCCAGGGGCGGGAAACACCCCTTCTCGTGAGCTGGAGTTCTGGGAGATGCAGAGGGAGTGTGTCTGGTGTGCAGGGCGCAGGGGCCAGCATGCACATGCCTGCGTGTGGCCTGTGAGTGGCAGGGTGTGCCAGCCTGGCGGGTCGTGTAAGCTCCTCGTGTTACACACACTGAATCACAGACCCTGGCTCTTCTGAGAGCCCATCAATCCGCCTTGGGAAACCCAGGGCATGTTTGTCCTCTCCAGCCAGGGTCCCTGCCCTCCACACCCATTCTGGCATGGACTACTTAGCTTCTCCTCCGCTAGAACCTTCCCCTCCTGGCGATGAGCACAGGGCCAGATCACCACCTTGACCCTGACTGCTCCGGATTCCTGAGCCCAGCTCATGTCTTGGCCTTGCAGCACCAGGTGCTGACCATGTGTGCGTCTGAGCGGACCCTCTCCTACCCGCCAGCGCCCTTCTCCTGCGAGTATCCTTGTCCAAGGACCGCAGCCCTGCCCCTGCCTGCTCTCCCAGGCCAAGGTGGCGGCTACTGTGTGCACACATGTCAC